ACTACTACTACTACTACTACTACTACTACTACTACTACTACTACTACTACTACAACTACAACAACAACAACTACTACTACTACTACTACTACTACCACTACTACTACTACTACTACTACTAATCATAATAATCATAACAATTATAATAATAAATGATAAAAATAGAGTAATGTAATTGTATCGCACAAATTATTCCTGCTCAAATGCAAGCTCTGTGCGCTTTACAATTCTTCCTATTACCCCAGCTGACTTGACAGCATTCTCTAAAGAAATATCAATGTCCCAGGAAGCACACAAAGCAAGATGTCACTTTTGAACAGGCTATTGTCGTATAATGGTGGCCGTAAGAGCAGATTGGACTGTACGAAACAACAACAAAAAAGAAGTTCTTCACCCATTTTGTATTTGAACTCAATTTTTCTGAGCGGAACAGCGAACGCCATAACCATTACAGCACAGACGCCCTATTTGCATTTGTATACCAACTCCATGATTGTTTATTCCAATGTTGTGTCGTGTGGTCGTTCAGCGCTTAGCAGTCGAACGTAGAAGGCTCGAGTTCAGTTCCCAAGCGTGGAGAACATTATTTTGATAACAGCCATTCTGCTGGGATGTTGTACCCCTCTCATACCAAGTTGATCCTGACATGCAAGGTCGGAAGCCAGCCTCTTAATTTACAAAAACATCTTCGATGGAGGCGTAAAAAACTACTTTCATCAAAGAGCATACATAACAAAATTTAGTTCACTCCTCTCTTTGAGCCAATAAAAGAAAACGTCCTCAAAATCCGGTGGCGCCCTCTTCGAAAAAGTGCGGACTTTGTGAACAGTTACCCTATTTGTGTGAAAAACGAGAAAAGCGATACTAACCAACTGGAGAAATGAAAGAGAGCTTCAAAACAAAGACTGCAGCTCCATCTGAACCAATGCGCGGACTTCCAAGGACACATTTTGGGCTGAGTGAACTAACTTGCAACGTGCGATTTTTTGTTTTTCATTTAGAATAAGAAAATGATTGTTTATTGGGAGTGTCTTTTAGTGCATTATTAAACACCTCTTTATGTGTGCAGGTGCATTTAGAAGACTTTGTTGTAGTTTGGGTGAGCTGTCCTTAAAGTGTTCCCGTGAGTACTATCTGGTGAAGAGATCAATGAACAGCTCAGTAATAAATTGGACTCAGGAGTCCGATACTATTGCATGTTCACGTCCGTTCAGTTTTCGTAGGGTGTGTGTGTGTGTGTGTGTGTGTGTGTGTGTGTGTGTGTGTGTGTGTGTG